TTAGACTATTACTAATAAGCTAGTAATACCTATTTATTATATTAGTTATAGTTTTAAGAAATATAGAACTCTAGTAGCTAATAGAATCGAGGTATATATTATTAGTAGTATAGAAGATAGGCGTACGATATATAATTAAATTAAGATAGAACTATAGCTAGAGTATTCGATAATAATAATTCGTAGATAATTAAAGGAATATAGTTTCTATAAATATATTATAAAAGTAGCTCTATTCTTAGACTTTAATACCTTCTAGCTATAGCTAGAGTTTAGATAGTAATATTTTAATCTAATAAACTAGAAGATACTCTTTATTTTTAGTAATAGTACTAGATTTAGCTATAGTAGATAAACTAAGTTTCTTATTAATAGATATAATAGTAAAGCCTTTATATCTAAATACCTATAGCTAAAGTTTAAGCAAATTAAGATAGTCTTTATATTTAGTTTAATTAGTAGTAACCTTAAAAGTAAGCTCTAGTTCTTCGAATAGATATACTCTAAGGAAACTATTAATAGTTAGGTATTTATCTACTATATTCTTCTAATTATTATTAAGTTTATAGAGATAGTCTATATTACTAGTCGTTAGGAATTACTAGAAGCCTTTAAGTTACTAGTAATATAACTACTACCTCTCGACCTTACTAAAAGTAAACTACTAGTTTGTTTTAATAGAGCCTTAATTTATACTTTATCCGCTACTTATAGTACTTTTACTAATACTAGAATTATAACCTTCTTAGATTTCTAGCTACTAACTAGCTCTAACTTAAATCTAATTAAGAATATCTAGACTCTTATAAAATAGTAACTAAATAGAGACTATCTATTTCCTTCTACTAAGTAGATATACTACTAGTAAATCTAGTAGGTTTAGAATAAGCTAACTCTAGAGGAAATAGAAAGGATTACTAGTAGTTTTAGAACCTATTATTAACGAGTTATAGTAAGGTATAGCTAGTATACTAAGTACTATTAAATTATATTCTCGTAGGCACTCGTCGGATAGGTATAATATAGTA